AAACAGCTGCTTGGCCTTGGAAACCCATTACATGCAGCTCTCTACACACTGTTGTTGTGCTGGCTAATCTGAAGGCCACACAAAGTTTGGAGGTCTTTAGCTATTGACTCTGCAGACAGTTGTCAACTTCTGCGTACAGTGCACTTCAGCATGTGCTGACCCTGCTCTGTCATTTTATGTGGCCTACCACTTTGTGGCTGAGTTGCTGTTGTTCCCAGTTGCATCCACTTTTTATAACACCACTAACAGTTGACCGTGGGAATATTTAGTAGCAATGAAATTTCAGATGGACTTATTGCACAGGTGGCAACCTATCACGGTACCACGCTTGAATTCACTGAGCTCCTGAGAGCGACCCATTCTTTCACAAATGTTTGTAGAAGCAGTCTACATGCCTAGCTGCTTGACTCGGGCTTTTTTTATACACCTGTGGCCATGGAGGTGATTGGAACACCTGAATCCAATGATTTGGAGGTTTGTCCCAATATTTCTGGCAATATAGTTTAGTTAAAGAGTTTCTAATGCAGGCCATAGATGGGGAGAAAAACGGCAGATTTTTCTTTTAAAAAACGAAAAATCGGTCGTTCAAGCGGCCGACGTTACCATCAATGGTAAAAAAAATCGGCCGATTTTCATCCCGTCTAGAGCCGGCAAAAAAGTCCCTGCAGAGAGCTCCGCTATTTCTTTGACAGTTCTCTGACAGTTCCTTGACATTTACAGAGGTTGCAACATTGTATCTATTTGTTTCCATTTAGGATACAGATGTTTTTATTCGGAAACAAATAGATACAATGTTGCAACCTCTGTAAATGTCAAGGAACTGTCAGAGAACTGTCAAAGAAATAGCGGAGCTCTCTGCAGGGACACTTTTTGCCGTACTGGAATTCCTCTAATTTTTCATTCTTCTTCTTCTTCTCCTGCTTCATCATCCTCCTCTTCTTCTTCATCATCATCATCCTCTTCTTCTTTTCATCATCATCATCCTCTTCTTCTTAGTCATTATCATCCTCTTCTTCTTCCTCTTCGTCGTCATCATCCTCTTCTTCTACTTCTACTTCTTCTTCCTCTTCATCTTCATCATCTCTTCTCTTCTTCTCTCTTCTTCTACTTCTTCTTCCTCTTCTTCTTCATCTTCATCCTCCTCTTCTCTTCTTCTTCTACTACTTCTTCTTCCTCTTCATCATCATCATCTTCTTCTTCTTCTTCTACTTCTTCTTCCTCTCATCATCTTCTTCATCCTCTTCTTCTACACTTCTTCTTCCTTCTTCTTCATCATCATCCTCTTCTTCTTCTTACTTCTTCTACTTCTTCCTCTTCGTCATCATCATCCTATTCTTCTTCTTCTTCTTCTTCTTCTTCTTTCTACTTCTTCTTCCTCTTCATCATCTTCATCCCTTCTTCTCTTCTTCTTCCTCTTCCTCTTCATCATCATCATCCTCTTCTTCTTCTTCTTCTTCCTTCATCATCATCCTCTTCTCTTCTTCTACTTCTTCTTCCTCTTCATCATCATCATCATCATCATCCTCTTCTTCTTCTTCTACTTCTTCTTCCTCTTCATCATCATCATCCTCTTCTTCTACTTTTCTTCCTCTCATCATCATCATCATCCTTCTTCTTCTACTTCCTCTTCTTCCTCTTCATCGTCATCCTCTTCTTTTCTTCTCTTCTTCATCATCATCATCCTCTTCTTCTCCTTCTACTTCTTCTTCCTCTTCATTCTTCATCATCCTCTTTCTTCTTCCTCTTCATCATCATCATCCTCTTCTTCTTCTTCTTCTTCTTCATCTCTTCTTCCTCCTCTTCATCATCTTCATCCTCTTCTTCTTTCTTCTTCTTCTACTTCTCTTCCTCTTCATCATCATCATCCTCTTCTTCTTCTTCTTCTACTTCTTCTTCCTCTTCATCATCATCATCCTCTTCTTCTACTTCTTCTCTCATTCATCATCATCATCATCATCATCTCTTCTTCTTCTTCTCTTCTTCCTCTTCATCATCTTCATCCTCTTCTTCTTTTTCTTCTTTTTGTCTTCCTCTTGCAGGTCACTGCTCATGCGCAGATTTTTTATCGGTAAAAAAATCGGCCGATTTGCCCATTATTGCCTGCATTAGTTCCATTGGGCATCCCATACACCCCTAACCCTATCCAAGTTGAATCCCCCCTAATTAAACCTCAAAACAAGCTCAAGGACTGGTTACTGACTCCTGAATGCAAGTTTGTGTGGAAATACGTGTTGCCTGGCTGTGTAGGACCAAAGGGGGACCCAAATACTTTGCAACTCCTAAGGGGGTAGTGCTACATGATGAAACAGGAAATTGGTCACTGACAAAAACAAAACTTAAATCCTAAGCATGGCTAAAATAAAAACAGAAAACTCAAGTGACATAATATTCAGTCATTAGAATGTGTCCACTTCAGTAGGGGTTACTACAACTAAGGAGCTGTCTCTCATCAACACAGCCTGACTGTGCCAGCCCTTTCCACCCATTCATAGATTTGAGGAAGCAACCTTTCAATTGTCTGCCCATCATCCATTCATAGATTCTGCTTTTTTCATAGAAGATGTAGTATGACTTCTATGAATGGCAGAGCTGAGTGGAGAGAATGGGCACAGTCAGGCTGTCTTAAAGCGATACTAAATGTTCACTTTTTTTGGGGGGGAAATAACAAACATGTCATACTTACCTGCTGTGTGCAGTGGTTTTGCACAGAGTAGCCTGAATCCTCCTCTTCTCGAGTCCCCTGGCTCCTCCTTTCTGTTGGTACCCCCATAGCAAACAGCTATGGCAACTTCAGAGTGCAGTAAGTTGCCCTTAAGAAGGGAGCTTGACCAATAAGGAGATGTGCTGTCTGTTGATATATAGGTCAAATGCCAACCCATTTCCCAGCTATCAATTGCTAATGCTGCAGTATAAGAAAACTTTGGGGACAAAAAGACGCAAAGGAGAAGGTGATTTGGGTTACTTGAATGCTAGGAGAGAATGATGCTATTATCCCTCTGAAGTGTCCACTTTTACGCTACATTTTGTTATAGACCAATATAGTAGTACTGTTGTAGGTTGTCATTAGCACTGCCTCATACACCTAATGCCTTTACTCTAGGTATTCACACCCAAAATGGCTGAATCTCCTGGTGGTTCATTATATTAACCATATTGTAGGGTTCCCCCGGCTTGGACACTCTGAACTATTTAATTCATGCAATAGGAAACTAGTTTTCATATACAGTATAAGGACCCCTTACCTACCTCTTCCTGCACATTAGTAACAATGCATTCAATAATGGGACCCAAATATTGTACACAGAAACATAAACACTGAATTGCTTATTTAACAGAGTAGGAGGATATCTACTGGTACTTAACAGAAAGGTGGTTTGAACAATTTATAGCCCTTCATACCGCAACACGCAGTAATTTTTTTTCCAAATCTGCAAGGTATGTGCATGTGAGCACAATACAATAAGAGAGGACCCCTATATCACCAATCAAAAAAGGAAAACAGTAGGCTGGTAGCATGAAACTCGATGAAGTGCATGGCAAGAGCCAAGTTATCTGAGAGCTTGTACAGTACCATGACCCCCTTTAGATGGATCCTACAGAATCACCCTCCTAGTTAGCTAGGGAGAGCTAGTTGATTATTTTTTAGTCAGGAGGGCTCAGTAGCCTGGGCAATAGTCAGCTGCAGTCATGGCCTGAACACCCCCCTGTTTGATTCATGATTGAACATTTGAACCTACCAAAAGTTTGACCGCGAACTTCGAAAAGGGACAATTTACTGAGCGGTATCTTACTGCATCTCAGTATGCAGTGAGATATTGCTCAGTTAATAAAATACTGCATGAGTTAAATTATTAAGTCATGCGGTACTTTAGTAGTGAAACATTCATTCATGTTTCAGCTGTCAACAGGGTTCTCTGCCCTTCAGGTCTGGTATTGAATTTTAGAGGACCCCCCCCCCCATGCCAAAAATGTTTCAAAAATGGTGTGAGGGTTCCCCCCCCCCCCCTCCATCTATACCAGACCCTTTTCCAAGCATACAGACTGACAGGTCAGGAAAGGGGGGGGTGAGCACCCCCCTCCTGAAACATACCAGGTCAACATAGGGAGGTGCTTTGGGGCAGGGGGGGCTCCCCACCAAAGCACCTTGTCCCCATGTTGATGGGGACAAGGGCATCTTCCCCACAAGCCTGGCCAGAGGTTGTGAGGGTCTTATCGGAATCTGGAAGCCCCTTTAACAAGGAGGCCCCCAGATCCCACCCCACCCCCATGTGAATGAGTATGCGGTACATGGTACCGCTACCCATTCACAAAAAGAAAAAGTGTAGTGTAAAAAATGACAGGAGACAGTCTTTGACAAGTCCTTTATTAAAAATAAAAAAAAAGTCTCCCGAAGTAGATCCAACATCAACCATGATGCCCGCCACTACCGCCGACCCGAAAAAAGAAAAAAAAAAATCCCCTCTGCCCTGGACGCTGGCTCCAGCTGTCTGCCAGCTGCACCATAATAACAGTTCTTAAATAGGGTGATGATGTCAAAGGGGAAAAGGAATCACTCCCGTCCCCTTGTGATGTCATCAGGCCCTGTGATTGGCAGTGTTACTGAAGAATAAAGGCTGTCAAAACCCACTGCTGGTGTCTATGTTTAAGTTTCCCCCATAACACAAAAAAATTAGGTGAATTAAACCCAAAAACAACATTCAAAATGTTTTAAATATGACAAACTTACTGGCTGGATCACCAGGTGAAAATATAGGGAAAAAAGGAAACTAATGCAGCCACTTCATCTAAGAATTGGTAAGATGCAGTGTATTCAATTTTGTATTTTAAGTATGATACTGTAAAAATCTAACATGCAGAAAAACATGGACTGCATTATATAATGACATGTTATGGGAAGGAACAGTTAGGTAGGTTTAAGATGATCTGTTAGGTAAACATTCCAGGTACATAAAATCTTCCCTACCTTTGTGTGCTCATATGTCATCTTCAGAGACAGAGAATGCCTTTCTACATCTCAGCGGTCCTTTGTCTTGTCATGCTGGGTAAGTGAGATGCCAGTCTTCTTGGTGTATTGGATTATGTAGATGGCTATTGTTCTCACTGCTGCTTTTCTAAGGTTCATATAACCTGGTACAGGGGTTGGAACTGTACAATGTTCACTGATGTACCTACTGTACATTTCACTACTCCAAATTATTTTTAAATCACTGCACATGCTGTGCAAGGTCAGTTTAAGCAGGATTCACAGTGACTCTGCACAGCGATTCTGCCTCATTCCATAAAGCAACACAAAAAGCAATGATGGTTCTGATCGTCTAAGTGTATGGTACCCCAAAACGCATATCATTTCAGCTTATGGAAGTCATTCAAAAAACAGTTCCCAGGGGTTGTAGTACATCTTGATAAATGATCTGGCTAGTCTTCAGGCCTCCTACAAAACCAAAATATTCACTTAGAACCAACTTTCAACAGATGTATAGTAATATGTCTACCAACAGATTGGTATCATGTAGTATAGTACAACCAGCAGCTCAGTCAACCCATTAGCTTAGTGCTTGTATTTCTGAAGATTAAAGTTTTTGTATTTTGGGTTTTTTTTAATGATAATGTTACAATTAGAGTGTTTGATAATATGGAATGTGTAATATTTATACTTCTTGCCAAGCATGTGAACTTGCTGTAGCTTTCTGATGTAGTCTATTATATATTGTTGACCTAAAGCAATGATACTTTGAATGTAGGATACAACCAATTTATCAGTAATATCCAGCAAAGAGTTGATGTCAAAATCCCGGATACTTTAAAAAATGACTCACTTAACAAAGTGTAGTAATATACTAGTAATCATGCCATGAAATATAGCCTGCTGGAGGCCATGTAATAGTAGCACTTAGTGTGTTTCTTTTAAAGGAGACCTATACTGTGGAGGTGTGACTGCTGCCATTGCTAACCCTTTCTTCTGATAATACTAGTTCCCTGGCAATTACGCTGATCCAATAATTTCTCAGTCTTTGACTAGGAAAAAATATGCAGATCAGTTCTAAGAATATACCTGCAATGGACTGGCCAAGGTTTTTAATGACATAAAGGTTCCAAGGCAGCTAGAAAAGATAATTTTTTAAACAATTCTAACATATGTTCTTATTTACCCTGACAGGCAGCTCTGCTGTAGCACAGGTGAAGTGGTGTACACACAATGCACCAGAAAAGAGAAAATGTGATGTCTGGAGTGCTGTCAGTGGTGAGGCCATAACATGTATATCAGCTCTGTCTGTGGAACAATGTGTTCAGCTGATAATGGTGAGCTACATTTTGTAATGTTTCAGTAAGAAATAAAATGATCTGAGCAGTTGTTCTCCAATGGCTTTTTGTTGAGGCCTCACATTTCTAGTACAAACCAGAGCTCAGTTATTTTATACATCAATAAAGCATAAAACCAAATCCAGGGATGTCCAGAGTTAAAAAACTATAAAATCTATTTGGGTGGCACGGCAGGTCTCACTGGGAACATTCACTTCACAATCTGAGAACCAGTCTGATAAAGCTCAATACATGGTGTAACAATGCACCACAGGCGTAACAACCCACATAGAAGAAAAATATATTTGAAGTATATTTTAAAAAATATTCTTCCAAAATATATTGACATATATTTGAAATGCTACAGTTTTGGCCATATTCAATATATATATATATATATATATATATATATATATATATATATATATATATTTTTGGAATGCATTTACAAATATATGTAAAAAAATATATGTTAAAATCACTTTTTTATATGTTAAAAAAATGTAACAATATATTTAAAAAATACATATTTTTAAAATATATTCTTCAGATTTTTTTTACATTTAAAAAAGTAATTTTACCATATATTTTTACATATATTTGTAAATGCATTCCAAAAATGTAGCAAAAAATATTGCGCAATAAAAACACATTTCAACATGCAGTGTATGTATATGTATGTATATATGTGTATATATATATATATATATATATATATATATATATATATATATATATATAAATATATAAATATATTATATATATATATATTTTTGAAATGTATTGAATAGGGCCAAAATTGTAGCATTTCAAACATATGTCAAATATATTTTTCGTCCATATGGGAATGCATGCGTGCCTTCATTCAAAAATTAAGAGGCGAACCCAGCCTGAATGTTCATATTGTTGTACTGCAATGCAGTAAAATACGGTGCATGTGATAACTCACCCCAGTCCTGGGCTTTCTTATAACTTCATATACAAACATTAAAGAAAACCTGTACAGAGAGAATATGGAGGCTGTGATTTTAGCTTAGCAGATTTTCAAAATTAAATCCAGGGACATCCTACTGACCAAACCCATTTCAAATCAAACACTCCAAGATATCAAACCCCTATTTGTGGTCATACCCATAAAAGCACCCATTCCCCATTGTTAATGGACTCAAACAATTGCTGGGAAACTTTTGGAACAAGGTGCAGACATTCAAGGTTTAAAGACAAACAGATTTCAAATAAGAAGCATCGAGACATGCATGCATAGGAGAGATGCCATAAAGGTATCAAAAAGAAAGGAACTGTTTTGATTGGTGGAGGGGTTTTCACGTTCTCAAGCTGAGAGCCGAGTGAAGGATGTCAGCAGAGGCGTCCCTAGGGTTGGTGTCACCCAGTGCAGTAACACTTGGTGACACCCCCTCCGCCGAGTCCCGCAGAATGGATCAGATCTGCGGATTGAGCATGATGGATCGGACTCCGATCCATTATGCTCAATCCACAGGTCCGATCCATCTTGCGGGGATCATCGGCTTTCTTTACAACTTACCTTTTTTTGGAGCAGGTCCGGTGTCACCCCGTGCAGTCAGTATCACCCGATGCGGACCGAACCCCCCGCACCTGCCTCGGGACGCCACTGCGGCTGTGTGCAGGTGCACTGCACACAGCCGCAGATGTGAAGAAACGGATCCCCAGCATCAAAAATGAGATTGAATATTATTTAGAGATGACTTGGTAAGTGTGTTTTGCATACCATCTATTGGGAACATTTGTTTGGAAGAAGGGAAAGCTGACCCAAGGGTTCCTACCTAGATGTCCTTACTCCTAAGGAGTTATATCAAGCGCTTTTGACTTTCTTTTTTTACACAAGAAGTCATTAAATTCTGTCATTAAAATGCCCTTGAAATGGGTGTTCCAACAAGACAACGACCCCAAACACACCAGTAAACGTGCAACATCTTGGTTCCAGACCAACAAGATTGACGTTATGGAGTGGCCAGCCCAATCCCCGGATCTTAATCTAGTAGAAAACTTATGGGGTGACATCAAAAATGCAGTTTCTGAGGCAAAACCAAGAAATAGAGAAGAACTGTGGAATGTAGTCCAATCACCCTGGGCTGGAATACCTGTTCACAGGTGCCAGAAGTTGGTTGACTCCATGCAACACAGATGTACAGCAGTTCTCAGAAACAGTGCTACAACTAAATATTAATTAAGTGATTCAAAGGAAAGCAAAATCTTCAAACATTTTTCAGTTTATATAGTGAATGTTTGAGTTTGTAAAGAAGAATACAAACACTGCTATTTTTTTGAACAGTCTAATATTCACTTTTCTTCAATTTTTTTAGAGGAACAACACAAATTTGATCTATTTTTCTTGATGTTTTGATTTGGAATAGAATGTGTAGTGTTCCCAATGCATTTGTGTGTATGGAAATAAAAGCTATTAGAAGGATTTTGAGCTTTATTCACTTTTTTCAACACACTGCTATTATTTTGAACACAACTGTAAGTTGCTTATTTCTACAGTATATGAGATTCACTGGATTTTTTGCACATTTAGACTGTATTACAAGCGCTGTTTTATATATATATATATATATATATATATATATATATATATATATATATATAGATATATATTGCTGTTTTCACATTGTTTTTGTGTTTGGGACAGCAGCTGCATTTTTATTATATATTTCAAAAATGGACTGTGCTAAGGTCATAAATAGACAAAATAAACTGTGCAATCTTTAAAGTGATCACACTGAGCAAAATACAAATACAATATTAATATTCAGTCCCAACATGTGAATAATTGGTGCAGCGGTGCTGTATCTTTACGGTGATACTCCATTCTGAAATGACAAGTGCTTCACTGTGTTCACATTGGTGCCCCACATAGATGTAAACTCACCGTAATTTCATGACCACCTAACTCTAGGTAAGTCACACTCGCTTACAACAGCGCAACAACGCCCCTTTTTTCTTTAATGCATTTTTATTTGAGTTGTTCTGTTCGTGGATGGATTTATTTTAGTGTTTGGTTTATTACTGCATTAATTTTTCCATAGATCCTGGTCAGTTTTCAGTTCATGGATCCTCCTCTTACTGGCAGGCATACCTTCCTCCTCAAAGTTTTGATATGCTTAAAAAATTAAGCAACAAAGAATTTAAAATGTTTGAAATAATTTTAAATATCTTAGAAAAGAGCAAGTTTTTGGAATTCACACATACAAGGACAAGGACAGAGACCGCTTAACCACTTGCCCTCCAGAGGATTTACCCCTCTTCCTGACCAGGCCATTTTTTGTGATACGGCGCTGCGTTACTTTAACTGACAATTGCGCAGTCATGCAACACTGCACCCAAATGAAATTTATGTCCTTTTTTCCTGCAACTACAGCTTTCTTTCGGTGGTATTGGCGGTTTTTATCTTTTGCATTAAAAACAAAAAAAGGCCGATTATTTTGAGAAAAAAAAATATATTTTTTACTTTTTGCTATTAAACATATCCAGTAAAACATTTTAAAAATCAAATTTCATCATAAATTTAGGCCAAAATGTATTCTGCGACATGTCTTTGCAAAAAAAAAAAAAAATCCCAATACGTTTAAATTAATTGGTTTACGTGAAAGTTATATCATTTACAAATGGCGGTATATATACTGGAATTTTTTTTTTTGAACTAGTAATGGCGGCGATCAGCAACTTATAGTGGGACCGGGGGACTGTGGTGGGCATTTTGACACTGGGGGGGAAACTGACTAACTGTCACTGACATCCCCGGTGACACTAATACAGTGATCAGTGCTAATAAAAAGCACTGACACAGTACTAATGACACTGGGCAGGAAGGGGTTAACATCTGGGGTGATCAAAGGGTTAACTATGTGCTGTTTTACTATTGTGTATGTGTGTGTTGTACTGTGTCAGCACATTGCTTTTTATGGCTCTGCTATGAAGAGCAATACAAAGCAGTGTGCTGGAGCTGACAGGGGAGATATCTGTATTGTTTACATACAGACCTATCCCCGTCAGTGATACTCGGCGAACACCGGGACATGGCGATTGACACCTGAAGTCACCAATGGCGGCGCAGATAGGGTGCACAACCCCTGCCCAGAAATGCAAAATCATGTATATATACAGTACGTGATTTTGCACAGCCATGCCGCCCTGTAGCAGTATTTCTGCTATAGGGCAGCAGGCAAGCAGTTAAAGGGACATCCTTTTCTGCTTTGTTGAAAGGTTGGTGTAGCATTCACCATAAATGAGAACCATTGCCATGTCCAGTGTATTGAGGTTATCATGGTATTTAACTAAGATGTGTCCAACACCAGCATTGTCCATTTCTGTGCTCTTAAAATGCTTTTAAATGGGGTTATGTCTAATGGCTTATAACTGGCTACAATCAAAGTGGCAATGCAAGGTCTTTGGACCAAGAGAAGTGTGCAAATATACACTGACCAAGCAATTTATGAGGAACACCTATACAACTGCCTATTTATGCAATTACCTAGTCAACCAATCCTGTAGCAGTAGCAAGATATATAAACTCATGCAGATACAGGTCAGAAGCTTAAGTTAATGTTCACAGCAAACAACACAATGTGGAAAAAAATGTACTCTCAGTGATTTTGATTATGGTATGAGAGTTGGTGCCGGACAGTTTGGTTTCAGATTTTCTGTAACTGCTGAAATCCTGTAATTTTCATGGTCAACAGTTTCTAAATTCCAGGACAACACACCAAAAGAGGCACTGGGAACTTTCAGAAATATAGAAAGGAGTGGAAGACCAATACAGATGAAAGAGCCCAAGATGATATTAATTGTTGGTAGAACAGTCCTTTAAAATCATCTAATGTGTTTTAGAGGCAACATCCCTCCCCCCTCATTATGGCTCAACACAGGATAAAACATAAATGGACTCAGAGAAAACAGTGACTTCACAGATCTATATTAGAACCAATATTGAACTCTTCACATAGAAGAAGTTACAAGGCAGCAGCTTTCTAGAGTTGGTCAGACTGGTTCAAGCTGATAGACAGGTTATGGTAATTCAGATAACAACACTTTATAACTGTGGCCAGCAAAACACATTGCAGAATGTACAACATGTAGTAATGTAAGGCAAATAGGTTACAATAGCAGAAGACCATGTTGGATTCGACTCCTGTCAGCCAAGAACAGAAAACTGTGGCTGCAGTGGGTACAGGTTCACAAAAATAGAGAGCTGAACACTAGAGAAATATTGATGATCTCACTTACTTCTGAGGCACAGAGACAGTAGGCCAGTCACCAGATCTGAACCCAACAGAACATCTTTAAAGTATGGTAGCGTGTAAGATTTGCAATAATGTCTAACTGACAAGGCTTCAGAAATGCTGCATGTCAACGTGAGCCAGAATCTCAATGTAATACTTGTGGAAGGTGCAATTCCTACCACAAAGAACCAGAAAATATTTTGAGAGTAAAGGAGAGCCCTAAGCAGGCTTAGTACACGATTTCTAATAGATTGCTCTGTGAACAGCAAAACAGCCCAATCTGAGCCAAATCAGAGCCAAACGTGCCTACAGACTTAACAATCATAGTCCAAACTGACCCAAATCATCTGAACTGGATAACTTTCATTTATTTTTTATGGGTGATGTTAAAGTATACCTAGAGTTAAAGCTTTAGTTTTGGATAGAGAAGATACGGCTTTTAATCTCTGTCAGGTTTTTTAATGCCATATGTGTCCCTGTTGGGGAGATTCTCACTTCTGTTTGTACTGGTGGCCACTGCTACTGGAACAGAAAGTGATAGGAAATTCAAATTTATAAAGTGGAGACAAATGCTCTGGTCACAACTGTCTAAAAAGTACATTTCCCTTCACTTTGGGTGTTATGAACATAGTTTTAGTTATCCATCTATTCAAAACTATAAAAGAAGTTTTGGCTTTCACTAAAATTGTTGTTTTATGTTACCATCTATTTGCAGGCAGGCAAAGCTGATGCTGTGACGCTACATGCAGGACATTTACACTTAGCAGTATGCTCTGGCCTAGTTCCAGTAATGGCTGAGTACTATAACAAAGGTGAGACCACATTCTATTATCAAAAGAACTAAAAGTGTTAATTTACATACCTATTATTATCAAAAAAGTCATTGGAAACCTAATTTGCAAATAAGTGGTACTTGAATAAACTTCCATCAATTTCCTGTTATCTATTCAGATATTATTCAGGTGGAAGGATATTGAATTGAGTGATCATTTCAAAATTTCTTCAAGTGGTGATTTGATACTTTTGTTTAAAAGCAAACTCAGCATGTTAGCTCTTATGGAAAAACATAAGCATTCAGCAGCATTTGGCTCACCAATTCTCTAGTTCACTGCCAAGTGTGAAACAGCAGGTGACTATGGATTAAATAGTGCCATTCTACATGACACCCTCACTTAAATGTATGGATGAACTGGTATGCTTGAATTCAGATTTACAATGATGCCAAGCTACAGTGACTTTGTTTCTTTCTGCTAAATTCATTGATTCATTTGCAAAATGGTAATAGGTTTTTTTCCATCCAAACTTCCTTCTGCAGTGGAGGTCCTCTGCTTATCCTTGGTGAACTTCTTTACCTTAATCATGATGACCTTCAACTCCTACAATGCAGTGTATGGCGTTATCAATATAAAGTGTGAGAGCCTGTTAGCCTCCAGGACAGAGATTATGAGCTAGTCCAGTGCATTAATAAGAGAGGGACCCTCACTAAATAAATGTATTAGTCAAAAATGGACAAGCCATGTTGATGGTACTACATATTTCTAAGTACTCAAGGGAGTCTTAAGCCCCTTACACATGATGAGAATACCGGATGAATGATTGTCTGGTTTTTTTTGCATGCTAGTCTCATATCAAAAATTAAGAGGTTACTAAAGTTATTATTATTATTATTATACAGTATTTATAAAGCGCCAATGGTTCGCTCAGCGCTGTACATTACAAAGGGGGACAGAACATGTGACAGAACAATACCAATACAATGCAAAACATGAGGGGATTGAGGGCCCTGCTCTTTCGAGTTTACAATCTAGGAGGGAGGGGATGGTGGCACAGGAGGAGATAGCTGTGGGGGATGGAGTGGTAGGAAGAGTGGAGGAGGTCGGCAAGTTAGCAGGGGGTGGGGTAGGCTTCCCTGAAGAGATGGGTTTTCAGGGTGCGCCTAAAGGAGAGGAGAGTAGGTGATAATCTGATGGGTTGGGGCAGGGAGTTCCAGAGGATGGGTGACACCCTGGAGAAGTCCTGGAGGCGGGCATGGGAGGAGGAGACCAGGGAACTACAGAGAAGGAGGTCTTGTGAGGAGCGGAGTGTGCGTGTAGGGGGGTACTTGGATATTAGGTCAGTGATGTAGTTCGGGGCAGTATGGTGGACAGCTTTGTACGTCAGTGTTAGGATTTTTAATTTGATCCGTTGCGCAATCGGAAGCCAGTGGAGGGATTGGCAGAGGGGGGTGGCGGAGACGGAGCAGTTAGAAAGGTGAATGAGTCTGGCAGCCGTATTCAGGATCGACTGAAGCGGGGATAGCCAGCAGCGAGGCAGGCCAGTGAGGAGGGAGTTGCAGTAGTCGAGTCGTGATATGATGAGGGAGTGGATGAGCTGTTTAGTGGTTTCTGGGGTTAGGAACGTGCAGATTTTGGCGATGTTGCGGAGGTGGAGTCTGCACGAGTTTGTTAAAGATTGGACTTGGGGCTGGAAGGATAGGTTGGAGTCCAGAATGACACACCAAGTACTCTGGCCTGCGGTGCGGGTTTGATGGTAGCGTTGTTCGATGTGATAGAGAAGTCAATGGGGGGTGGTGTCCGGGCTGGGGGGAAGACAAGAAACTCGGTTTTGGAGAGGTTCAGTTTAAGGAAGTGGAGCGACATCCAGTCTGATATGTCGCTCAGCAGGTGTGTGATTCGGGCAGAGACCGAGGGGGAAGTTACGAAAATTCTTGTACAACAGAATAAATATTCAAAAGTGATGTAATGTATTGTATTGTATTTGTATTGTATTGTACTGTATTGTATTTGTATTGTATTTGTATTGTATTTTTGGACGAAAACTGTACTGATTAAATGAAAATCATATGATCTGGTATCATACAAGAAAGATTTTTGTGTTGTCCCTTTGAATAATTTCAGGCCAAAGCTTTGTACTAACGATCAGGTTATTGTACGTTTGCTTCGAAAGCAGTATTTTTTGTAAGATTTTCTGATCACGTGTACTAGGTTTAAGGGTGCAGATGTTACAAAAGAATCTTAAATAAATAAATGTAAAATCAACAACATGGGAGTAATAAATTAGCAGGAGAATTGCATGGGAAAATATATAACCAGTTAAAAGGCCAGAAACGTGGATACAGTGGATGGGACATTGTGAACTTTGTGATGTACCTAAGGCAATAGATGAAAAGGTTCCTGATAGTATTCTCTGAAGAGGTATTTTCATGCACACTTCAATGTCTGATCATGATTGTACATTAGACTATGCCATGGTTTGGCTAGTAACTTGAAAGATAAAGTGATTGTTAGAGTTTTCTTTCTGATACTTCTCCCTCACACAATACACAGTATTTCCATTAGAAAAAAAATACAAAGTTACTAAATTAGAAAAAACTACTGTATGCATATGTATGTTTTACTGATGTATCTTCATTTAGAATAACAGAAATGAACTTACTTCTTACTTTTATTTCTAACAGATAATGTAAAACCTTGCAAAACACAACATTATCAAGGTAATGTATAAGCTTCCATTTAGACAGTTACATTTTAATTTTATGTTTTTGATCAATCAGCTTTACAGGTTAGCAATGCCAAAATCCCCCTTTTGAACATGCACTCATTTTATAAGAAAGCAGCCAGCACAGCACAAAACAATATCATAGAGAAAGTGTGAGAATCTTGATGAATCAGACTAGGTAACTTAAAACAAATATTAGAGGCAATATTAAAGACAACTTTACTTTTATACATAAAGCCACCAGCCCTCCCAGGTACTTACTTACCTTTGCCTGAGAGAGACAATCTTTAGTGTTTACCTACCCTCCTCTATTCTGAAATGTTCTCCAGTGCTTTTTGCACACGGCAGTGAGTCTTCATAGGTTTGAATAGGGTCACACTACTACACTAAGAGGCTGATTTGTAAAGCAGTTGTATGGGTTAAAGTGATATTAAAGGCTATTAAAAATAAAAAAAAATAACAAACATGTTATACTTACCTGCTTTGTTCTGTGGTTTTGCAAAAAGCAGTCCCATTCTTCCTCTATCTCAGGTCCCCCGCTGGCTCTCCTGTCCACTCCCTCCAGCTGAGTGCCCCCAGAGCAAGCAGCTTGCTGTGGGGGCACCTGAGCAGGCTCACTCCTGAGCCGCTGTTCTGCGTGTCCGTTCACAAACAGTGCAGCTGCTCGGCCCCGCCCCCTCTCTCTCCTCATTGGCTGTGATTGACAGCAGCGGGAGCCATTGGCTCAGCTAATGAGAAGGGAGAGTCCCTGGAGAACTGAGGCTTTCATGTACATTGCTGGATCGTGATGGGGCTCAGGTAAGTATTCGGGGGGTTTGGGGATCTGTTGCACACAGACTTTTTTTAGCCTTCATTCATAGAAAAGCCTTGAGCCTTTACAAGCACTTTAACAGTAGACATACTGCTGCTTTAAAAACAATCCTCTGATGCATTTTTAAAAAACAGCGTTATGTTTCACAAATGTGATTTTTGATTTGTGTCCTTTGGGGCTCCTATGCAAGTGAAGTTCTTTGCATTTTATCAAATGTTGGAAAAAAATGGATGTGGATGGGGTGTACACAGCAGGTACTACACCATACATATATGAAAATTAAAAAGAAGGTGCAGTCAACACTGGAGAAGATTCAAGGCAAAGACTATAGAAGGCTATCACTGTAGTCAACCCTTTCCATCCTACCAGCCTAATCTAACCTGGGTGGGTGAGGTTGGGGTTAGATTAGGTTAGGGAGTTAGTGGTGGTGGAATAATGTTATTTTGTGTATAATAGTAGACTTTTTTTTTAGATCCACTTGATGGAAGACAAATACCGTATGTGTGTATTATTGGGTTAGCATATACTGTAGACTAGGAGTGAGTGTGAGCATTTATAGACTAATCTTGTCTATGCTTTCAATGCATTATTAACTATCATATTATACATTGTTAAATAGATGATCTCCGGATGGACACTTACTACATTGTTGCTGTGGTAATGAAAAAGAACAAAGTCATATCATGGGACTCTCTTAGAGGTAATAAACCAGCTCTGAGAATTACCTACACTCATTATATGAGCTTTAGATCTTTTCCGACTCCCTAAAACACATTCAGTGCAAAATGCTAACACCAGTTTAGGCATATTCTTGTGCTACAATAGAGGTGAGCTGAGCACAACAAATGGAAGCCAACATACAATTTTCAGGACAAGCTTTCAGGGCATGCCCCCTTCTTCAAGGTCCAAGCAGTACTACTGTTTCTTACTTAGCAATAAAACCTATTTCCTGGAGTACACTACAGGACACGGGCTTCTATAACCACTTCCATACTGGGCACTTTTACCCCCTTCGTGCCCAGGCCAATTTTCAGCTTTTAGAGCTGTCGCACTTTGAATGACAGTTGTGCAGTCATACAACACTGTATCCATATGACATTTTTAGCATTTTTTTTCACACATCTAGAGCTTTCTTTTGGTTGTTTTTAATCCTTCTGTGTGTTTCATTGTTTGCACTAATAACAAAAAAAAAGCACAAAATTGAAAAAAAAAAAAAAGTTTTTTTTTGTTTTGATTATAACATTTTGCAAACAGGTAATTTTTATCCTTCACTAGTGTGCCCTGATGAGGCTGCACTGATAGGCAGCACTGATGGGCACTGATAGGCAGCAACTGATGGGCACTGATGAGGTGGCACGTATAGGCAGCACTGATGGGCACAGATAGGCTGTACTGATGGGCAGCGTGAGGAAAGTGCTGCCAATAACTGTATGTACTTGGTGATCTGCTGTGTCATTGGACACAGCTGATCACATGGTAAAAGGCAGCTGTGATTGGCCTTTTACCTCATCATGTGATCAGCTGTGTCCATAGGACACAGTGATCATGGAGATCGCCAGGTGTGGTCCGCACCCAGAACTCGCCCTCCCAGAACTGGACACCCGCACTGTAGCATTCGGCTATAGCGTGGTTGGCAAGTTGTTAAATAATTTCTACCTTCAAGTGACTAGACACTGACAAAAAAGGAAAGCCGCAGGGACAAGCAGCCCCCTATATAACCTCTCCCACCCCTAGTTAGCCAAAGTTTTGTAGAAAGCAGTAGGGAGATCACAAGAACAGAGAGGAGTGTCACGTACCTGGTTGGTGAGCCAGACGTGGAGAGGAGGCGTCCTCTTACTACTCCTGTTCGGAGCCCCTAATAGTGGGAACAGAGGGCGCAGAACCAGGAGTGGAACGAGTGCCGGGTAAGTCTGGAGCTGGCGGCAGGTAGGTGAAGACCCAGGAGATCCGGATGCAGGCCAGGTGCGGATGCAGGAACGTAGGTGCAGCAGCAAGCCAGTATGGCAGCAATCAGGATGCAGACTGGGACTGGACACAGGAGCGTGGATGCGGCAGCAAGCAAGTATGGCAGTGACCAGGATGCAGGCCGGGTGCAGGACCGTGGGTGCAGCAGCAGGTAAGTATGGCAGCCGTCAGGATGCAAGCCAGGTGCAGATACAGGTAAGTAGGTGCAGCAGAGTCAGACAAGCCGGGTCAGGATCAAATGAGCAAATCAAGTACAAGGGAGCAGGCAAGCGGATAGTCAGGGATAGCCAAGGTCGGTGCAGGCGGAGTTCTTTCTTAGTCAGGTCAGATCAGGATACAGGCAACAGAATCAGGTAATATAGTGCAGGGATGTTATGGACCAGAAAGCATTGATTACACCATATTGCAGGTTTAAATAGCCCACCTTGCGGTGACGTGTACGCAACTGCACATGCGCGTACTTGCGCACTTCTGCGCATGTGCGCCCACACGCTCCTGCGCATGCGCACTTGCACCGCCACGGTCCAAGGGGATCTGTTGCCGTCGCACAGCTGCACGGTGACAAGATCCCTGACAGGGAGTGTTCTGTACTCCAGGTAACAAATTTTACTGGCAAGTCAAAAATCCTGTTTGCCTGATTGTACAGTACAGGACACAATGCCAACAAGCTCACATAACAACAGGTCAAGAGGGCTTGACAGACTCAGAGCACCTTGTACCACCTTACACCCCGAATTGGCATCAGAGGAGGCTCGAACATCTACCTGACAGAACTTTGAAGTTTGAACAGAAGCCCAAGTGGCTGCCTTGCAGATCTGAGAAACAGATGCTTGCTGCCCATAAAAGCCCATAGAGCACTGCCAGATCTGGTACAGTGTGGCTTAACAAGGAAGGGAGGAACCCTATTCCTTACCACTATAGGATGTATCGACAACTTATCTGAACCACTTAGCAATGGTGGAGCGAGATGAGACATCTGGTAATTCTTTTTTATGATCCCAGACCTGGATGACTTATTTAAAAAACAAAATGACAGGTTACTGCATGGAGAACCCTGTGATTTGGAGGGAGATTTGGGTTTTTGGGATGGCACATGCCACCATGCTTCGTGTTATACCCTAAATATGAGTATATCATGAAACATTTTCAAAAGTGTGGACTAAGCCTTTAAAGTGGAACTTTACCCATAACAACTTGATAAAAAAATAATGTTCTTATTAGGAACATACATTCAAAATTAGTAATTCTGCTACCAAAATTAGTGTGCGTTGTAAATTGCATCCAACATTTTTCGTGTTACTTCTTGCTGCAGGCTGACATTTTTGCTGAAACCTAGAGACCTGAGCAGCAGTAAATCTTTAGGTTGTCGGCAGATTGCCCTCTACAAATTCACCACAAAATAGAGAGCAACTGAGCATGTGCAGAGCAGTGTGAGGCTGTATATTACTGGATTCAAACAGTATAGACACTAAGTTTAAACTTTTTTCATAGCTATACCTGCAGAATGGGTCAGCATAAAGTGATATAGCAGGACTTAATTTTCTGACTAAAGTTTCACTTTAAGGAACAAGAAGAGCTCACGGTGCAGTTGACTGCTTCAATGGAGACGAGCCACGCCAAAACGTGACATGTAATTGTGGGATGTGGCTCCTGATCTCACCTGGAGCAGCATGTGAAATATTTGACCACTGGAGCTCATGGCTTATAAAGAGAATGGGACATTATCAATAATTAGTAAAATATCATTTTCTGATAAAATTTGTAATCTTTGATCAGCTTGAGTATGAGTATCTGTAGCCTGATCTGTAAGTAGCATAGAGTCCTAAAGAACTGGACCATTTAAATGGACAGTAGGTATAGAAAGAGGTGCATACAGAACATTAAGTACTAATTTTACCTCTCTCTGTATAAAGGCATCGACTTTCCAGCCTATGACATCACTGAAAATCTCTGTAGACTATACAGAAATGATCACTTGGAGAAACTATCTGCTGAGTCCAATATAGTTTGTACTTCTGGAGCTAAAGAGAATCATCAAGACTTTTCTGCAACTTTCAGGTAATGGAAATCAAACCATTAGTAATTATTTATGGAGCCTATTATGCTACTAACCTGTTACACTTTCACTATATGTTACCATTCAAATCTAAATTGGAGAAAGAGTATTTTATCTTCAGAAGAGAAAATGACATAGTTCAGACTCACAATAATGCTAAGTCGATACAGTATGAAAAGAAGGCAGAAAGAAACAGAACAGCTGGGAACAAATCAGTAACATCTGCTAGAAAATCTTTTAGAGTTAGCCCCGGTTCAGACCAATGCGACTTGTCATGCGATTTGATGCTTCAGAGTGCATGACAAGTCGCACCCTCTGATCAGCAATGGAACAGTTCTAATCGGTGCAACTCCTCGACTTCATCAGCATCGCACTGATTTGAAAAGTAGTTACTGTACTACTTTTTCTGATTTCTGTCATGATTTGCATTGACATCTGTGCATGAAGTCGCACAGGTGTCTTACACGTTTCATGTGAAATGTCACACTGACATGCGACTTTGAAATCGTGCGAATTCAGGTGAAGCTGATGATTTCAAAGTCATATTCAGAGTAAACCAGGGCTTAATGTTTAAACTGGAAAGAAAACTATTTTTCCCAACGACATGCACAAAATGTACAAGTAATTGGGAGAAGTTTTGTGTTTGGGTGTTTAGCAATTATTCCAATGTTTAGCAATTATTCCAATTCTGTTTTTTCTCTGAGACACAATTTATATTTTAATACACCTATAAAACCTACTGTAATGTAAACAATTGTCCATCGGTTTTAGGTGTCTAGTGGAAATGGGAGGTGTGGCTGTTGCAAAGCATAGTACTGTGTTTGAGAACACAGATGGTAAGTGAGCACAGACTGTAAGTAATAATTCTTTGAATACTCTACATATGTAATATAGTGCAGATTCTTGATAAGAAAAGTCAGGGTGAACTCTGTTATTATATTGACCAACTTTACAGTGGCATATGCACAAACACACACACAAAAGCTGTGTGCTGACCAGAGGTGGACTGACAACTAATGGGACCCCCGTACAATAGGGGATCATAGGGCCCCTGTGTCCTTGCCCACACTCAAACCACTCCCAAAAAAGCCTATGAAAGGTACCAGGGGCATCTCATGGGGCCCCCTACTGACCCCGGGCCCTCGAGCAATGCCCGAGTGTGTGAATGGTCAGTCCGCCCCTGGTGCTGACTCCTCCTCCTCTTGGTGACCTTCATTAATTTGAACACTTCAATTGTGGATGAGATCATGCCCATTTCTTTAATAACACAAATACTACCTGGTGATCCTGCCATGGAGGTCCTTGTTTAGTCACTTCCTGTTATGGGGTGTCAACGTCAATGTCTTCCAATTGTGCTCCTGCATTTTCGCCATGACAATATTGGCTTCCAATGGAAACTACAACTACCAATTGTACAGACATGGTTAACTGTTGTCACCGTCACAAAACCCACCCTGAGAAATGCCATGTAGACATTGTTGGAGTGCATGTAGACAGAAAGTGGCTGCAAAGGGGCTGCAAGTGATCAGCAGAACTGAGATACAACAAAAAATGACAACAAAGTATTTTATTTTATAAAATAGCAATGTTTTAGTAAGGGGTTGATTTA